AGACTAAAATATGAGCATAGAATCTACCTTTAAAACATGGGATTTTTTTTTAAACACTGTGGCATGAGAGTGCCTAGTAATAATAGTTTTAGCGTCGCTAAGAATCATTTTCTGGATTCTCATAGTGATTTTTTTTTTCCAAACGATATTAGAAACTGCAATTGACAAGTATGAGCAATGCATAATACATACATATATAAAACGTAAGCATACCATAAAAGATAAATGAAACCCCTAACAAAAGCTGATCGACTGCTATTGAACTCTAAAGAGGGGTTTATCAGAGGGAAAATGACAATTAAATCAATTAAAATTCCATTTAATTGATTTTAATTATTATTTTACTGTATCGATTTATTACTTATTGTAATGGATTGGAAATATTTGAATATGAATTAGCTGAATATTTAAGAATAATATTATGACTGCGAGAATAGGGAAAAAAAACATTTTTTTGAATATTTACTTTCTTATAGAATGCAGATGAACTTCATTTTTACTCAACGAAAATCAAAATTTAGTAGCTAATTAATCTGTCCTGTATCGAGCACTTTAGTTAGTTCAGTGATCCGTATTAATGTGCGCTTTTTTAAAAAAAAATTTAAATGCTTCAAGAATAATTAGAAAAAGGACATAATTTCTTACTTACCCTTAAATTCTTCAATAAAAAAACTGCATTTTCAGCTATAACCAAGTGAAATAATTTTCTAAATATAATTCAAAGCATGAAAAATAAGGTACATAAACAGCTTGGAAATGGAACTAGCATTGAGATTCTCTTTAAGAAATATGGTGAAGCTTAAAAAAAAGTCTACGAAGTGAAGTAATTCCGTAGAATATTTTCTAACTCTTTATGATTAAATTGCACTCAATTATACTTTATAAACGACATGTAAATACTATTTAATGTATATGTGTGGATGTGTGGGGGGGGGCTCATTAGCGGCTGAGCTTAAAGTCGTTGAACTCTGGCAGGTCGATACGGGGTTCGAATGCGGATCAGCTGTATTGGCGTTTTCGAGGCTTTCCCCACGTGTAACGTGCATAAGAGTCAGTCTTGTTTAGAAAGTTCTCTACGAGGCACCCTTACCCTTATGCAAATAACCGTCGAATGCTTTGCTATAATCAAACAAACCAGATAACAATAGATATATAAATAAGTAGCTTAAAAAACTGCTATATTTTACGTATACTTATCAAGTAGTATTTCAATATATATAATGATTAAAAGAAAGGAAAAGTCGGATCCTAACTGATTGTATATAATGTAATCCCTATGAAGGCCCTAACAATTCTTTCTCACTTAAAGTCGTAACCCAAAAAGAGAACAAATTAAACGTCAGATACGTATACAATACTGAATCTAATACAAAAATACAAATATAAAAATAAATTTATATGTACGAAACCTAACTAAATATTTATATTGATATTACATAAATATACGTATGGTAATAAACATTGTATAATAAAAATATTATAACCTTGTTCTATATTTGATTCCATTTATATATACCTATACATAGATATATATAATTTAAGGATTCCATTTAAGGATTATAGTAGTAGTTAATACTACTACATATAAAACACAAAATTTTTCAGTATTATTTAACTTCAATCTTAAGAATTTTCTGCAGTCTAGTTTGCGTTATTTTATCAAATAAAAACTCAAATAAAAACAGTTATTCTTTATGTCATTAGAAAATTAACTAAAAAGCAGCGACCACATTGTAATTGAGAAACAGTCCTTAGCCGTGAAAAGGTTGAAAGCCATTCGGTTTTGACTATTATCTCACATACTCAGCTACTTCGCATACATGGAACATAGCATTCGAAATGAAAAACTCAAATCTGTCTTTCTACACCTATGGCTTTAAAAAAAAAAAAAAAAATGTTATTTATCTTACAGTTTATCGTTAAGTAATACATTTTCATTGTACAAAATTGCATTCATTCGAAGAATTCAATTTGTATTTTCCTCTGTATAAAACTGAATGTAGAGAAGTTAGATGTTTAAACGACCCCCACATTTTGTCAAGAGCAGGAGCAAGATTATCCCCTACTTTTCAGCCCTCCCAGGAAAAAAGGGGTTCTAAATTTACGACCTGACCGCATATGGGTGTATTTCCAGAGAACTGTTAACACTACAATACGTTTAAAATTATCAAGAGGATTAAACCTCTGGCCTGGAAGGCAACCAGCAACCGAGTAAAACTGCTAAGGCAAGCGGCCTGCTTCGACTAACTCCTTCCTCTCTCTTCGCTTGGCAAAAAGCCACAACTTAAGTACTTGGCGTTCGCCAGACACATTTGCATAAATAAGTTAAAGCTTTTAATCCTGGCCGGAAGTAGAAAATAAGAAGTGATAGTAAAGATTTAAAATAAAATAAACGTTAGTAAAACTTAAGATCCTTACACACCAACCTCTCTGTCACCTTCTTCATGTCTTTATCCATTTTTTGCAGTAATTTTTGTTTGATGGACATCGAAACATACTTTCGTTTTGTAGATCCCTTTGGGAGCTCCAGCATTGGAAATTCTATTTGACATAATCGAAAGTTCAAGTTTACTTTTATAAAATTGTTCTTACAGTCTGAAAAAAGTAATAAGCCAGATCTAGTTCGAAGATTAAGGAACAACGCAATCAACAACATTAACTGAAATAGATAATTAGATAATTTTAGCTTATACCGTCCGTTATACATTAAACGCGCACGCGAAAACGTATTCTGCACTTGCGCACACGCATATGCGCAGTCGTAAGGGTCTTACGCGCACGTGTAAACGCCTATGCGCATGTGTAAACGCGGCGCATGCGCAGAAAGTTTTTAGCTTTGAGGTCCGGATTATAGATCATTCCGGATTATGGGTGTCCGAATTAGCGGCTTTTGACTGTATAATACCTTGTTAAAACAGCCAGTTAGTCATTGGTCACATTTGAAATTTGCATGTTACAGATCAGATGATTATGTTTATTAGTTTTGGTGGCCAAAATCATGCCACAGCCACTTTAAGAAGGAAGTGCCTCTGCATATATTACATATGTTTCTAACTTTATGCAAAACAAAGCTATGATAAAAAATAATAGAGAAATCAAAACTATGCAATGCATAGACTACCACTGGCAGAGTTGATAAAACTGTGTATTAAGCAGTTTTAACCCACATGTTATACTAACACAAGTCATTTTTCCTTAGAAATTTTCCCACAAAGGCATACCTCCTAAGGCACATAGCTTTTATGCACTTAGTTATAATCAATTAAGCTATAATCAATCAATCAAAGTTTTTACATCTCTCCTGCATCACTGAAGACAAAACTGAGGCATTAGAGCTCCACTGAGACTCCTCCATTTTAGGCAGGGGGCAGGTCATAGAAGATGTGTCACTATTTTTGAACTCTCTCAATGGGCTGGAGTACTGGGCGACAAACTCCAAAACTTACCCACAGCCCATGGTTTTCAAATTCCACTTTGGAGTGTTGAACAAATTCACTTGTATCTGAAGACACCTGCCGGATCTTTTGCTCAGACGAAATTACTGCACAAACCTCCACTTACTGGGCCGGGCCTGAGGGGTCACCACTCCCTGTTCTCGGCTTTTTGACGGAGGCATGACCTGATAACCTGAAGGACTGACTAGTCATTTAAATGCTCCCGCCAGTACAACGCGAGCAGTGCGTCCCATCAGGAATTATCATGCAAACTTGGTGCCGTCCAACACCGTGGTGCGTCCCCCGCCAGGCTACAGAACCATCTGGTATACGTCTTACGCTAATCCCCCATGGTCCAGCCATATAAACGACCCAAACCCGGGTTCTGGAACCGCCAGGCTCGTGATTTTATACTGCTGTGGACGAGACTGCCTAGGTACAGATCCTAGCCAGTAGCTTCGCAGAGTTCTCTGCATCGACCCAGGGGGTGAGAATTAAGATATAAGGTATTTTCTCCCTCCTTTCCACATGAATTCATGGAGACACTTGACACATAGTTGTGAGGTCCAGAGTTCAAATACCAGCAAGGGTATTGCCCATTTTTCATAGTCCTGCACTGATAAACTTTAATGACTTTACAAGTGGCGCCCAAACTAAAAGGTGGCAGATGATAATTTGTCACTATCAGGATTTGGCAAGTCGGTAACCTAATCCCAAGTTGCCCTTTAATTCAAGATACTTTTTCAACTAGAAGCACTCCATGCATTTTCAGAAGGTCTGGCGTTTGTATCCCATTGAGGGCATTGCATACTTTTCATGTTTCTGCATCGATAAACTAATGACTCAACATAGCAAACAATTATATCATGCAGAATATGTGAAAACATTTATAAAAACTAAACCTCAGTTTTCAAAATCTTATTCTTTTAAAGAAATTAATGTATTTTATATCATTCTCTTCATTTCTGAAAGTTGATCACCAGCAGAATGAAAGACAATAAGTATTCCTAATTGTTTTACTATGAGAAAACAGCTGGAGCATTATTTATTTTCAGATAAATATACAGTTTTATAAAATACAATTTATTTTTTCCCTCATAAGATTACGCTAAAAATATTATGAAATATATATTATTTCATTTAAAAGTACAAACTAGGTTTCTTATAAAATTCTTAAAAATACCAGTTTTTCAAAATGCTGCCTAGCATACATTAATAAATATATTGTTGAAAAAGATTAAATTGCAAAATATGATGAAAAAGGAACAACTATTAAATAAAAAATATTTAAAAAATCTTTTGAGTGAGAATTAAAAGTAATTTTTTAAAGTCGTTATTTAATTTCCAAATTAATTTCCTGTACAAATATACTTATTATGATATCAATATGAAAAATCAGAAAGAAATAATTTTTTAATTTGTCAATTTTAAGCTAAAATTTAAAAATGATCATTTTGGAAGGAGGATAATTATTATAATTTTTTTGTTGTTTTTATATTGAAACAACAACTGGGCATATAAAAGTTTACTCTCTTAATCCATACCTTCTAAATCCAAAATTGTTACCTGGAAAAGAGCCACTGTTCCCCTCTGGAATACCTTCCAGAAGTGAACCAATCAAGCAAAACTAAATTTGAATCAATTGTGAGATGAAATGTTTGAGTCTGATTGTAGACGGCTTGTTTGTAACATACAAGAGGATCTGGAAGTATACATAAGAGAGCTTCAGGTTCAACAGTGTATTTTACATGCTGCTGACTAACACAGCCCATTTCACAACAGTAAACCTAAAAGCAATAAGAACATTAACAATAAAATAAATAAGAATAATTTACACTTTTGATAATATAAATGGGGGGGAGGGGAACTGCCCAGACTCCCACATCTGAAATTCCAATTACCTGGGTAACATATTTTCCTATCTTGGCCAAGTTAAATTTGTTGCTAATTTATTTATGAACTTTTTGTTTTTCATTTAAAAGATAATACTAAGTGTATTACTATTAGAAATTAATTTGAATGAATTCACGATACAGATAATTAGTACTAACAATGTCTAAAAGTAATCACAAATACTGTGTTTAAGCCTATTCTTATATATTTCCTCTGAAAGTCATAATAAATGTCTGTTTTCTAAAAGCTCAACAAATTAAGTAACATTATTTCATTTCTCTCTGTACACAAGGAATATTTATAGAACATGCAAATTAATAGATACCTGCCATTTTCATATTTATGGGTACTATTATAAGGCATTTCTCCCACGTTCTTGGCATGCCTCCATGTGGTGGTCTGCACGCTGGGCACGTATTCCAGAGGCCCGTGGTTCGATTCCTGGTGAAGGCGTTGCATATTTTTCATCTTTCCTGCTTCCAAAAATACCTAATGTCAGTGGTGCCCAAACTAAAAGGGTGGTGCAGATGATTCTCCACACCCAGGATTTGGCCCCTAAAAACACCAGTCACCTTTTCAAAGGGGGAGCATATAAGGTATTTCTTCCGCCTTCTTGGTGTGGTGGTCTGCACGCTGGGTGCATATTCCAGAGGTCCATGGTTCATCTCTCCTGCTTCCGAAATAAACCTAATGACTCTACACTATTGCCAATAAATATGTCTTCTTTTGCAGCCACATATACAAAATACAAGTGCAAACAGTAAATAAATTGTGACTATGATGTGACTGCTTCAAATACAATACACAATCACAATTAAAGGGTAATCTAAAAAATATATATACTTGCTCATTAAAATTTTTAACAAATGCATAATGGAATAATTATTTGTATTAATTACTTGTAACTGTAAGTTAGAGCAGGAAAAAGTCAAACTGGATTAAATGCTCAACTGAGATTTTCAAAGATGTGTTTATTTCTCCCCTTTCCTCTTTTAGTTTGGCTGATATATTAACCAAACTAAAACAGTTATAAAATTTCATACCAAGGAATCTTCCATTAGAAAATAAACAAATCTTCAACCATTAATCGTAGTTGGGCATTTAATCATAATTTTCACTTTGGTTCTGTAAAAATTATCCATAAAACTTCTTTAGTTTGTAAACTGGATTTCCTCCAAGCTTCTTAAATCCACAAAAAAGTTATCTTACTTAGTTAATGGCATTACTCTTACCCAGTTTTCCCAAATGGTTTCAGAATTCTAATGTCTTCATTTTTCATGTTTCATTACTGTTTTCCTTGACCTTGTTGCCAGCACTATGTTCATTTCTGCTTTGCATATTATTTTCAATATGAAATGGTTGCCATACCTTCCATATTTGCAAAATGTTTTTTGCTTCTGTTGAAGAGGGACCTATGTGTAATGGCCTTTAATATCAACAGATTTTGTTATTTTAAATTTGAAATTTATTTTCTCCATGATTTTAAATACACAATATAATACTGTTCATATTATACTCTTGATTTCACATTTTAATTCAGTATTTAAAGTTTATACCCTTTAAATATGTAAATGTATGAAACATTATATAATAAAGAAAGCAGTTTTGCCAGCATTATGTATTTATACTTTAATTTTTCAATAACTTTTTAATGTTTTAATAAATGATAATGGCTTAGTATCTTAGAGGTGTACCAACCACGCTTGATAATATCAGGCTTCAACTACACCTACTCAAGGCTGAATATTCAAACATGTTATAGTCCCAGTTAGTCCTGATATTTGGAACAGAGACATAGCTAGGGTTTTCAGTTTCTGAGGACAAATAAAAATTTTTGAGTCTCTTCTTGCTTGCCAAGAATGGAAAACATTTCACTCTAAAATTTCATAACATCAATTTGGAACCCCTGGATGCTGCATCTAGAGACAGATGTTCCCACTAGCTACACAACAGATTTAGAGCTATGCAGAGCTAAAGTTGAACAAATTCACATAAACTTATTTTATGCACTAATTTGACACAAGTTTTGGCTATTACTAAAATTTTAATATATGCGTTAAGTTCTCAACATATATAGTTAAAGTCTTTAATATAATGAAGGTATCTTTTTCAAAGTAAAAGGCTTTACTTACAAAAATATACGCAATAAATATAAATTAAATAAAATCTTGATATTAGTTCAAGTAAGTAAGATCTTGATATTGATCTATATCTTGATATTAGTTTTTGTAAGTAAAGCCTTTTACTTTGAAATATATCTTGATAAATACATAATAAATATAAATTAAATAAAATCTTGATATTAGTTTATAAAAATTGAATGCTTAGGAATTTTTCAAAAATTAACAAAACCTATTATTGAGGATTTGGAAAAAAAAAAAAAAAAAAAAAAAAAAAAAAAAAAAAAAAAAACCTAATTAAATAACTAAACCAGCAATGAGGCATGAAAATTTTAAACTAGGAACTCAGATATTACCCTATAAAAGCAAAATATATAAAAAGCAGAGTTTTATTTTTTACAAGAACAGGATATACAAATAATTGTGCAACATTTTAAATGAAAAAAATATTTTAAACCAAAAAATTGTTACAATTTTTTAAAAAATTATAAAATATCAGATATGATAATTGTAGTAGGATATCAACCATCAAAGCCAGCTCCTATCAGAATTCAAAATTTAAAAATTGGCTTAAAAAACTCATATTTATCACTTTATGTAAAATGTTTCCATATAAAGCTAGGTAGCAAGAGCCATTCTTAAACTTCATGCTGGTTAGTATCGCCCAAATGCATGGCTGACTTTTAATAATCAACCCCTAGATCTATAACAATATTATTTAATTCTCATTGATACTTTTTTAGTGGTGAACTGGTGATAAAAAAAGAATACATGATAAAAAATTTTCAAAATGATTCACTCATGATGATAAAAAAATATTTCAAAATGGTTTTATCATAGCTTAACATATCTGTGAACAATTAGCTATGCACAATCAATATAGTAGTATTACAATATCAATTTACAATAGTATTAGGAAATTTTTACAGAAGCTTAATTACAACTTCCAACATTTTCTTCCTAGGTTATACAAACTCCTTCATAACAAAATGTAATTAAATAATTTTTCAAACAGTTTTCAGAGATAAATATGAATTTAAAGCATTGATTATACATTAATGTATACACTCACGAACAGAACTTGCTAGGTCAAAAAAGAAAAGGAAGCTAGCAAATTAGAAACAAATTTAGCAAAGGGCTTGTGCAAACTTAATGACAACCATCATTTTATATAACTAATATACTTTATAATTTATCTGCTGTGGCTTTCAATAAATCATAGTTTCAGTTCAATTTTTCTGAATTTTTTGCCAAACAATTCTACAAAAACTTTCCATACGCAAATAACATTTATCACTGCAAATTAGATTAAATTCTTAGAATGGATCCAGTGTTGTCACTTTTCCAATACTGCTCAAGATGATGCAAGGAAATAACTTCTGTTTATGTTCATTTTTATGAAAGGCACAAAAAGTACTACAAAAATAGCTCTTATTCAGTGGCTTTCCTTCTATGAGGGAAAAAATAACAAACTTTCAGATTATATTACAAAAGTGTATGCTGTATAAAAATGGAAAACATGGACAGATTGCAAATTTGTAATACTGTCACATTATACTATTTAATTTATTTGCATAACCTAAATTTTAATAAAAATATTCAAAAACTGGACAAATGCAAAATCAGTCAGATTTGTTAGTAAATGGCAGGTTATTTTGAATAACAGTCCAAACAAAGCCTAACCAGGTGGAAATAACAGATGGATATAAATATAGCATATACCATAATTTCTCAGTCTGCAGTCCATTGATCACCAATAATCCTTCTAGATTTCTAAAAAAATACCCCAAAATTTCTGATTTTTTAAATTAAACTTGGCAATTATCTCTCACTTTTTCTCCGAAGACTGAATTTCTGCGAAATTTGTCCACAGTTATTCTATCAACAGACTTTCTACTCTAGTCTTAGCAACAAAAGAGGAATTTAAAGCACTATGAGTGAAGTGCTTCACCCATCCTTTCGCTGCACATCTGGCTCTGTACCTGTAACCCAGACAGAGACCATCCCCAATTCATCACAATGCACAGATGTATGGAGCCTCCTTTCCATGTGTTCATGATTTGCTTAATAGTTTTGGAGATGCACTGACATTCACATACCCCATCAAACTGCAACTTTACCTGTTGAAAATCAGATATGTTTCAGAATTAATTATTTTTCCCGCCCAGATGATGAGAGAAATATAAGACTGCACCTGTTTTAAATGGATAAATCAGATCCGAAAATTTAGACTAAAATTCTTTCCTATTTCTGATTCTTGCAGCTAATTAGATGTAACTTCTGGATAGATATTGTTACGTTTTCTTTTTCTTCTAACACCAGTTGTTGCGTTATTTTCTTCCTTCACGTTCGTAGATTTGAAGTGAATAACGATGACACTTGATGAAGTATCAAAACGCACTTTATTTAGTCAATAATAATCAGGACAGCTCCAATAACACTTTTTACAGTCGTCGAAGATCTACTATAAACACGCTGGAACAATCAGCGACACAGCCTTCACACTGTCAGGCAATAATGGTGGAGACAGCTTCCTGCAAAGCACCTGACTCTGCTTTCCGGAGTACAGCTCAAGACTCTGCTTGGTCGTTCTCGGAACTCTATGTACTCTTGAGACTCTCCACGCTACAACTCGCGATGCACTCGACGACACATGAGCCCAGCTCCCGACTTCTCGGTTCAGTCGTTTCCGGAGCTCAACATGCTCTCTCGATGATGCACTAATTGCGATACACTAAGAGACTCCTTCGGTGAATTCGTCAACAAACTCGGCACTTGCTGCCTGGCTGACAACTCGATTGACTCCGCACGGACCGACTCGCTAGACGAGACACACACTCAATAATACTCTCTCCCACTCTATGCGAGGCACACACACTCGATGAGAGACGCACACTAAATGACTGCAGACTAGCAGGGTTTATATAGCTTTTGGCTTGAGTTCGAGAACATTCTGGGCTAAACCGGTAAGAATTCGTTCCAGAAGGTTCTCCATCCGTCAATGGTATATTGCCAATTTTGTTGCCAAATGTGGCAACCCTGCCTTCCTTTGCCATTTTATGGCAACCCTAAAACTACTTTGCGGGGAAGCTATCTTACCACGCCTGTACATTTCGTAACAATATTATATGCTTAGTTACTTGTAGCTTCTCTGTTAGACTAATAGTTGTGTAGTTGATTTAAATCTTTCTTACATAACAGGTGTTAGTAGTTGCCTCTTTTATATAATTAGGCAGATAGCCCTAGTGTCTTTTGCCATAATTAAATACACCACACACCATTTTTATATAATTTCCATTGTATATAATGTAAAACTGGCTTTGAACCAGGTCATTGAAAAGAAAGGAACACAACAATACCCTTCATTTAGGCAATGTTAGTACTAAAAATGTGGGATTATGATACAGTCAAAAGTCGTTAATTCGGACACCCATAATCCGGAATGATCTATAATCCGGACCTCAAAGCTACAAACTTTCTGCGCATGCGTCTCGTTGACACATGCGCATAGGCGTTTACGCATGCGTGTAAGACCTTTATGGCTGAGAATATGCATGTGCGCATGCGCATAATACTTTTACGCATGCGCGTTTAATGTATAATGGATGGTATTAGCTAAAAGTATCTATTTCAGTTAATGTTGCAGATTGCGTTGTTCCTTAATCTTCGAATTGGATCCAGCTTATTATTTTTTGCAGACTGTTAGAGCAATTTTATAAAAGTAAGCTTGAACTTTCAATTATGTCAAATAGAATTTCCGATGCTGGAGCTCCCAAAGGATCTACAAAGCGAAAGTATGTTTTGATGTCCATCAAACAAAAAGTGGAATTGCTGCAAAAAAATGGATAAAGGCATATCCTTTGTTTCTCTAACCATTCCGAAATCTGTTATTATCACATAAAACGAAGCAACTTAAACAACTCACATTGAAAGAAATGTTTAATAAAATAAACAAATAAATATTAAGTTTTTTTTTTTTTTTTTTTTTTTTTGTAAATTTTGATACCCTTTAAGATCATAACTGTTCTTTATTTCATAAATTACGGTTTCATATTTTTAATTTTATAATTTCTGCATGCCATCTTGTCAGATTTAAACTGATGACCTATAATCCGGAATCGCCGAAGTCCCGACGAGTCCGGATTAACGACTTTTGACTGTATTAATATCAGTGATACTATTAGAGAAACATCTAGTGTTACTCATAGCTGTTCAAAGAAAAAGTACTTTTTCAACTATGAGAAGAGTTATTTGGAATTTGGATTTACTTCTTAGTGCAATGAGAGTGAACCAAACCTCAGCACACCATACGTTACAAAGTACTTGCAAATGAATGCATATAATCCACAAAGTTTAAACTGCACTTAGGGATAAAATATTCAAGTGAAGAAGTAAACCTGCCAATTTTTTCTTACAACGTGTTGAAAACTAAATCAAGAAATCAGATTTGTTTCAAATAAAGGTTCTGCAATGAAAAAGGTCTTAAAGCTTCCCATATTTTGAGTCTTCATGTCACAAAGAACGGGACACCCTAATTCTATAAATGAGACCTTAACACTTCTACTTGCAAGATATAGTTCAAACAAAGTTGGGTGAAAAATTATTGAAGGATATTGATTAAATGGTTACAGCCGAAAACATCGCGGACGTAAACGTCACAGCGAAAACAACGCAAGGCGAAAACGTCGTGCTACAAAACATCGTGGGAGAAAACATCGCAGTTCTAAAACATCGTGGTACAAAACATTGTCATCGAAAATAAAGTGGTTAAAAAACTTCGCAGTTTGGAAACATCATCGTTGAAAATATCGTGGTAAAAAATAAAGTATCTACAAATCATCACATGATGATAACATCGCAGACATGCTTTTTTTAGGCTTTAATAACTGTAAATAGATATTCCCATAATAATTTGAGAGCACAAGATGTAAAGAATAATAATTTTTACTTTCACATTTTTTGATTAACTAATAAATTTTTGCTGAAAAAGTAAGAAGGAAACATAAGCATAGAAAATTAAATGCAACATATACATTATACTTTTTATGAAAAATTACCAGTAAAAACTTTATAAAATTATTTATTAATGGTCTTTGTTAGTTAACTATGTCGGTTTAAAATTCTATTAAGTGCTATAAGTTGCATTAATTTTCTATGCTTAAGTTTCCTTCTTATTTCCTCAGCAAAAATTAGTTAATATAAAATATGAAAACAATTTATCCTACTTTCTATTTTGCGCTCCCAAATTGTTATGGGAATATCTATTTACAGTTATTAAAGTCTGAAAAAAGCATGTCTGTGATGTTATCGTCACGCGATGATTTGTAGATACTTTATTTTTTACCACGATATTTTTAAACTGCAAAGTTTTTGAACCGCTTTATTTTCGACGACGATGTTTTGTACCACGATGTTTTAGAACTGCGATGTTTTCTCTTTACGATGTTTTCTCCCACGATGTTTTGTAGCACGATGTTTTTGCCTTGCGTTGTTTTCTCTGCGACGTTTTCATCCGCAATGTTTTTGCCGCGATGTTATCGGCGGACACCGATTAAATACAACTCTCATACAATACAGTTAAATGCTAAATCAGTGATATGGCTGAAAATGCATATGACATTTATTTAATTTTTTTAATAAGATAAAAATTATTCTAATAGCTTTGAATTATTAAAAATAAATAAAAATTTTATTCTATAAATTTAATTACCTGCCAATAAGAAATTAAATTAATTTTAGTTGCATTTTAAGAATATAAGCATACTCATAGTAACATATGCTAAAAAAACTGATTTTGAAGGCGACAAGAATAACGTAGTCTGCAGAACATTCTAATATACAAAATCAAAAAATGTTTGAGAAACGCTGTCTTATATTTTTAACCTGCAAAGAAAAAACTTCATTAAAAACATTTAATGTTAAAACAAAGAACATTTTCCAAATATATGACAGTACCTTTGGAAATGACAGTGTAGCAACCAAAATACAGCAATTTTTCCCAATGTCCAGAGATAAATTAATGTTATCCCCTTCAACTAAACCACCACCAAATATAATTGGATATAGCCACTGACAACAACCATCAGTCACAGATGATGGAAAAATTATTTTCAACTAAAATAAGAGAATAAAATTTTACAGCACAGTATTAAAAACTATAAAAACTTTGTTTTATACAATTGTCGATTTTAACAGATGGCTATTATAAGAATATTGATTTTAGAATGAAAATATTTTGGTTATCATTACATTCAAGACTTTACATGCATAGATATATAATGAAGAGAAGAAATGATTATACACAGATTATGATATAAATATCTTTGTTTTACCAAAAACAAAATAAAATGTAAAATTAGCAATTTTGTAATTTTGGCCCACAGGGACCCAATATCATTTTTTTAATATTTTTCATTTGTAACATCAATATACATTTACCCCCACTTGAAATAGAACCTAGACTTGCTGGCAATGACATAGTAGTATGTGATCTACCACTTTTAGTTAGTTAGTTATTTTTTGGAGGCTACTATAGCTGGTTGTTTCTCACTAATTTTTCTTATTTTACAGCACTTTCAAGTATGAAAGCTATTACATTTTTTATTTTATGAAGCTACAGTGATTTGGAAGACTACACAAATGCTTCCATGGTGTGTCACAAAAGCATAGTTAAGATCTGTTAATAAAAGTGATGACTAGTTTTTTTTTTTTTTTTTTTTTTTTTGCCATGCTGTATGACATTCATAAAGTGTATGGTTGAATGAGTCATAAAAATGCCATTGTAAGGGCACTCCTGCTTTTGTTTAGTAAAACTAAAAGGAATTAAAATTTAATAGGTTATTAATAAACTAATTAATGAAAAATAATTATTTTTAAAACTAATTAATCAAATTATTTTCACTTATGTATTCTTAATTATTTATATTTCTTTTCATATTTAAACGTAATGTTTTAATGTCACCATGTAAAAAAAAGTAGCTAACTAAAAGCTGTAGATCACATTGTAATGTTCCCCTTCTCTGAAAACACTTGGTCACCCACCCTAAAGAACCCTTCACCAACCAGGGGGAAGTAAGAAAGAGTTTGAGATGTGGAAGAGAAAAGAGCGGATGCTGGTTTGCGCACTCTGCTGTAATGAAACGTATTTGAAAGTTTTTCTAAAATGTAATCTGTACATTTGTATATATAAGTAAATATTTAATGTAGAACAGGTCTTGTTTATTTGATGGAGATACGACTATGGTACAACTGGTGGCAGCAGCGGTGGGATTTTTAAAAGGCCCACTAGTCAAAACAAAGAAGTGATGCTTGAATTCGACACAGTTGAGTAGAATCATCCTGATTCTATGAGGTTTGCACTTTTGAACGAATCATCCTGATTCAGTGAAGTTTTGACAGCACCCTCATGATTCTGTGCAGTTTAAAAATCAGCTCCAGTTCTGATGTTGATCTACATAAATTGACGGAACCAAAATCATCCTGATTTTCACGTCATATGAATCATACTGATTCTGGTTTCTTCGTTTGATCTAAGTCATATTTTAGAGAATCGTTACGGTTCTGCACAACGAGTTTTCTTCATCAAAAATCATCCTGATTTTTGTGTTGTTGTAATCATACCAATTCCAGTTTCTTTGTTTGATCTAAGTGATATTTCAGAGAACCGCCACAATTCTGCACAACAAGTGATTTTTATGTTCTCGGAATCATACCGATTCCAGTTCTCTTTTCGTGGTTATATTCTGAGTATACTATTTTCGAAGAACTATTCTCCAAACTAGCAGCTTAGAAGATCAGTTGGAACCTCGCCATGTAGATCAGTTACGAGATCTTCTAAGAACCTCTCCAAAGAGCTGGGAATAACGGAATTAGTAGTGCATGACATTGAATTAATAAGCGACAAACCAGTTAGATCGAGACGCTATAAAGCATCCCTAAGGCAAACGGAAATTTTGAAAATGGAGATTCAGAGGATGCTAGATTTGCACATAATCGAGGTAGGGGAATTGGACTACATTTCGCCAATGATTATATAGTGAGTATACTCAATTCTTGTTATGTTAAAAATCAGATCATTTACGATGTTTGTAAAATCACTGTGCATTAGCGGTTGCTACTAATAATGATAATCTCAGTAGCATTGTATTTTTTATTAGTGTGTGATAATTCTAAGTACAAAAATTGAGTGTGGCACAAAGCTCAATGACTTTCTTGGGAAATTAGTTTAAAATTAGTTTATTTTTCTTGGGAAATTACTTTTAGTTAAAATGGCTTTCTTGGGAAAAGGAAAAAAGATTGACTTATACAACCTAGCAATAGAATTAGGGAAGGAGGCTACAATGAGTCTAAAGATAGTAAAGCTAAAATCTCTGATTCAAAAAAGTGCAGCGTATGACGAGAGTGTTTTCAAGGGAAGAGTAAATGATAGGTTGGAGGAGGAGAGACTTCGAGAAAAAGAGAGAGAGGAGATACTTAGAGAACAAGAGACAGAGGATTGCCGGGCTAGGGAGATAAGACAATTTGAGTTAGAACGGCTAAGGATCAAGGCAATGGGTAGATCGTCACCTGCGGTATTGGAAAATTCAAGGTCAAGTAATAAGCTGTTTCATCGTGAGACACAAAAAAATTATTCAAAAATTTGATTCGGATAGTGGGGCTATTAGTTTGTATCTGACAATGCTTAGAGACAAGCAAAGAGGTTTGATATCAAGGAGAGCGACTGGGTAGCTTATTTGTTAGTACTATTGCCCATGGAAATCGTTCAACTTATATCTAAAGAACCTGAAGAAAAGGCTTGTGATTACATATACGTAAAGGCTTTGCTCTTAAAAAGATTCAAACTGAGCCCCAAAAAATTCCATCTTAAATTTATTCAAACAACAATTCAACAAAGATCAGGTAAAACATGAAGGGATTTGAGTTTTGCTCTGAGAAATTATTTAGATGGATGGTTAAGCGGTCTAGAGATAAACAATTTCGAGAAACTAAAGGATTTGATGGTTACCGATCCAATGAAACGTCAAGTCGGCAGTGAAGTCAAGGAACATCTCTTGGACGACTGGGTAAAAGTTACTTTGGCAGCTAAGTTGGCAGATATGTTAGATGACTACGAAGATGTCAGAGGAATTCGGAAGAAACCAGCCCATCTGGGGTATCAAGACCGAAGGAAGAATGATAGGAATTTAACTGATCCTAAAGATAAAAAAAGGAATGATGAGAAAACAAAAATGTTTTGTCTCGGACAGAACAAACGAAGACCAGCTGAAACAAAGCATTTAAAAAAAGAGAGGCTTCTAAGTGTTTCGAATGTGGCTCAGAAAATTACCTTAGGCCCCAGTGCCCAAAACTCATAAAGGATAAATCACTAGCCATTGTAAACAACATATACAGTCAAAAGTCGTTAATTCGGACCTCAAAGCTAAAAACTTTCTGCGCATGTGCGTAAACGACATTGCATGCGCATATATGTGTTTTACGCATGTGCACGTAAGACCTTTACGCATACACATATGCGTTTACGAAGTCGCAGAATACGTTTTTGCGTGCGCGTTTAATGTATAACAGATACGGTATAAGCTAAATTAATCTAATTATCTATTGTCAGTTAATGTTGCATGATTGCGTTGTTCCCTTTAATCTTCGAATTGGATGCGGCTTATTATTTTTTGCAGACTGCAAGAGCAATTTTATAAAAGTAAACTTGAAGCTTTCGATTATGTCAAAATAGAATTTCCGATGCTGGAGCTCCCAAAGGATCTACAAAACGAAAGTGTGTTTCGATGTCCGTCAAACAAAAAGTGGAATTGCTGTAAAAAATGGATAAAGACATGAAGAAGGTGATGGAGAGGTTAGTGAAAACGAAAAAATTTCGATTGACAAGTTAGTCGGTATTCTCGGCACAGCAATTACAGGACTTGGACAGCAGAACTTTGTAACTGAACAAGAAATTATGTCTGTTTATAGAATTAAAGAGAAAGTATTATCACATAAAACGAAGCAACTTAAACAACTTACATTGAAAGAAATGTTTAATAAAGTAAACAAATAAATATTAAGCTTTTTTTTTTTTGTAAATTTTGATACCCTTTAGATCATAATTGTTCTTTATTTCATAAATTACGGTTTCATATTTTTAATTTTAGAATTTCTGCATGCCATCTTACGAGATTTAAACTGATGATCTATAATCCGGAATCGAAGTCCCGACGAGTCCGGATTAATGACTTTTTACTGTACAAATATAAAAGCACAGAAGAATTGTTGTCTCCATTTATCACAGACGCATGAGTAAATGGTCATCCTATAAAAGTTCTGCGGGACATCGGAGCAAGTCTCGATTTGGTGAGTCGTAACAATATCACTCCGGAAATGTTTATGGGAGAAACAGTATGGGTGAGAATTCCTTTGGATATGGAAGCGAAATGTCTATCATTAGCATGCGTAGAGCTTGAGATGAATGAAATTGGGCTCATCCAAACTCAAGCCACAATCATTGGAGAGGATTTAGACAGAGGTATGTATATTCTGGGAAATCAAACCGCAGGAAGATTGCAATCACTCGTTCCAAAATTCCATAAACAGCCGTAGAAGCACGAGCTATAGCCCAAAAGAAAAGTCAAACCTCACAGGAAGTGGTGGATCGGGTTTTGAGAAAAGCGACTTTTTGGGAAAATGGGGTCAGTTAGTCTCAAACTTCAATCTTTGACCCTACCATGGGAACGGAGAATTTGCTACCGCAAGCAGAGAGCAGCGGGGAAGAAATTGCTCTAATAAAGACTGACCGAAGGATATTTAGTGACTCCCAGAAAAGGTGTGAAACGTTAAAAGCAATATATGACTCTATTAGGTGAAGAAATGGAAATCAATCATCGAAACATACCTACCGTATTGAGAACAATCTTTTGTTTCGAGTTCAAAGAGATTGTTATGGAAATGAGAAAAAAAATGCTGATAGAGCCGATAGTATTTCTGAAAAAGATCCAAGCATTATGCCCCAAAGGAACTTTGGCTCATTTGGGGGTTACAAAATCAAAGAATAGACTTTTACAGTATTTTTTTTTTTTTTTTTTTTTATTGGCCTGGTTGTTATAAGGAAATTAAAGGTTACATTCGTTCCTGTGACAAATGTCAACGCGTCGGGAGACCAAATAAAAGGAAGAAAGCCCCTCTGAAACTAGTACCCGTCATTGAAGAAATTTTTTCTAAATTAAACATTGATGCAGTAGCCCCCTGTCGGTCAGTTCAATGGGAAAATGGTACCTAATAACAGCCATATGCTTGTCATCTAAATACCCTGAATTCCAGTACGTGATGAGAGTTCAGTTTCTGTGATGGATGCCCTGGTTAATATTTTTAGTCGTATGGGTTTTCCGAAAGAAATGCAATGTGATCTCAGAATGTCTTTCGTAAGTGCACTTACTATGAAATTTTTCAACAGGTTTGGGATTACGGTTAGTCATAGTTCGGTTAGCCACCCTGAATCGAATCTGATCAACCGTTTCCATAGAACAATCAAACGGCTCTTATGAGCTCTATGTCTGGAGGCAGGAATGGAATGAGGAAAAAAACCTTCCCTCGGCATTGTTTGCTTTAAGAACTGTAACCCATGAAAACACCGGGTTTTCATCTGCCGAATTAGTGCATGGTAGGAATTTAAGGACACCCGAAATCTTATTACTTGAGCATTGGACGGAGAAACAGAGTGAAGAAAATCCAGTAACTGAATATGTTTTCTAATTGATCAATAAATTAAAATCGTGTCAGGAGATCGCAGTGCAAAGAATGGAAGAACTGCAAATTAAACGTAAGCTATGGTATGACAAAAACGCCATGAAGCGTGAATTCAAAAAAGGGGATTTAGTGTCGGTTTTCGCTACATCGAAACCGAATAAGCTGGCAGCCCAGTGGTTGGGGCTGGGAGTTATTGAAAGCAAAATATTGGATACGAATTACATTGTAAAAATGTCTGGAAAGAAGTCTCATATTTATCATGTAAATATGTTAAAACCCTATTATAAAAGACCTGAAGAAATCAATGCCTTATCATCTGAAAGTAAGACTGAAGAAGGTGTGGATCAAGAGGTAGATTTTCCGTATCTAGATCTAAATCCTAACATTTGCGATTTCAAAGACATCATCCAATCTAGCAGCTTAGATCAGTTGGAACCTCGCCATGTAGATCAGTTATGAGATTTTCTAAGAACTTCTCCAAAGAGCTGGGAATAATGGAATTAGTAGTGCATGACATTGAATTAATAAGCGACAAACCAGTTAGATCGAGACGCTATAAAGCATCCCTAAGGCAAACGGAAATTTTGAAAATGGAGATTCAGAGGATGCTAGATTTGCACATAATCGAGGTAGGGGAATTGGACTACATTTCGCCAATGATTCTAGTGGAGGTGCCCTGGAAAGACCCGAGACCGTGTATAGTTTACCGGCGCCTAAATAAAGTAATACGCATTGTTCTTCCCCCTGCCAAATATAGAGGAAAGAGTGGAGCTTGTTTCATCTGCCAGGTATATAACAATTCTAGATTTCGCAAAGGGATACTGGCAAATTCCTCTAAGTCCAAGGACCCAAAGGTTGGCTGCTTTTGTCACGACATTTGGGACACTGTGTATGCCATTTGGGTTGAAAAACACATACTTTTTCAGTAAATTGATGGCTGAGTTATTAAAAGGGTGTGAAGGCTTTGCTGTCCTGTATTTGGACAATGTTGCTAGTTTTTCCAATACTTGGGAACATTTTATGAAGCATTTAAATTGCGTTTTGGGGAAAATAACTGTGGCAAAGTTGACCATTAAGCCATCAAAATGTAGTTTTGCTTCAAACCATGCAATGTATCTGGGGCACATCGTAGGACAGGGAATCAGACGATCGGCTGAGGCAAAGATTAAAGCGGTAGCTGAATATCCCACTACGACAACAAAAACTCAAATAAGGGCATTTTTAGGTTTGGCAGGTTATTACAGCAGTATATTTCCCTGTTTTCGGTTATAGCTTCTCCACTCACGAATGCCTTAAAAGGGAAAGCAAAGGGGGAAATTCTTTGGACAAAGGAATGCGAAGACGCATTTATTCAGTTGAAGGAAAAATTAACGAAGGAACCTGTGCTACATGCACCAGATTTTAATAGAGAGTTTATGGTGCAAACCGATGCTTCCAATTTAGGGATGGGAGTATTATTAACACAAATGGATGAGAACAACACAGAACATCCCATCTTGTACTTAAGCAAGAAGTTTTCAGTGACGAAAGCTAAGTACAATACAACTGAAAAAGAATGTGCATGTATAATTTTTGCTGTAAAAAAACTGCATTATTATTTGGACTGTCCAAATGCAGCTAATGCGGTGAGCTTTAGTCCTGCAGCCATATAATATCCAAGTTATTCATCGAGCTGGGAAGAGCCATAAAAATGCTGACAGTCTAAGCAGGTCTGCAACTTAAAAAAAAAAAAAAAAAAAAAAAACCTTAGCTTTGACTTGTATTTATCTCTGTATTCTTTTGTAAATTTTATGTATTTTAATTGTGTCACTGGCCTTGATGTAATATCACGATACTTCTATGTGATCTTTTCTTATGTATGTATGTAACTCACTAACTCTTTACCTCAGTCAAATATACTTAAACATTTTGATGAGCAAAATGTTTCTTCGAAGGGGGAAGGAACTGTAATGTTCCCATTCTTTGAAAAACACTTGGTCACCTGCCCTAAAAGAAAGGGCAGAGAACCCTCTTCTCGCCTCTGCCGGAAGAGGGGAGTGGACTTTACCCCCTGGTCACTGGTGGGAGTAAGAAAGAGTTTGAGATGTGGAAGAGAAAAGAGTGGACGCTGGTTTGCACGCTCTACTGTAATGAAAATGTATTTGAAAGTTTTTCTAAAATGTAATCTGTACATAGTTGTATATATAAGTAAATATTTAGCCTAGAACAGGTGTTGTTCGTTTGACAGAGATACGACTATGGTACAACATACTACATCATTAGTATTTTATCTTTTTATGTAATGATTCCCTTCTATCACACGATGCTAAAAGTTCTAATCTGACTTTAGCTACACTCTTCCTTTATTTTTTAGCTTGTATTACAAAGGCAAAAATATCCATACATCCAGCTCATTTGCACTGAACCTCTGTTGGACAATTATCCATATTTGTCGGTTTTAACCAGTTTGCAACATTGAGCATGATAAACTTTGTTAATAACGAAGTAATCTCTATATCCAAAAACATGTTGCTTTCAGAACAAAATGATAAATACCTCTTCTATTTCTCAATTAACAATTATTAATGTCTTTCTAAATAAATAAGCTATTAGTCTTGCACTGGAATATGATGAGCATTGACAACTTAGTCTTTTTTTTTTTTTTTTTCCAGAAATAAGCTCCTTTAATTATTGCCCTCAAATGGATACTAAAACTGATTATAATAAAGCTTGCTTGTAATTTTATAGAGCTAAATTTTAATAAAAGCTTTCAAGGTGACTTATGCTTGAAAGAAAAAAGGGAGCAAGTTCATTTAAATCTTATAAACTATATCTATACATTTTGCTGTACAAGTTCCTTCTTGTATACAGATCTCATCTCGCATCTAATAGAGCAACTTATATGCAAGAGTTATTTTAAAGTCAGATACAGAACAGACAAGGTTTTTCAGTGGGGTTGTTGTGGATGGAAGGAATTTTAAAGAGGTCTGTGGTGATCAAGGAATCAATGGTTCAACAAACATCAGTTATTGCCTGGAATAATCAAGATCTCACTTATTAGGATAAACATATAAATAAAACTGAAAATTAATTGTTTAAGTCATCCAAGAGCACAGCTGGATTGACCATTAAGTAAAATAAGTGCATGTAGTACATCAAGGAAAATGAATTTCCCAAATGATGATGCAGCTAAACCAAACCTGAGAGAGAAGAAAAAGTATGCGAGGACATCAAAAATCTTACGTGTTTAGGACCTATACAAGTTTTAATCTAACTCTGTCTGTCAGAAACATCCTAAAATAAAAGTTGTCACTGAACCAACATTATTGACTTTTAGTGGTTAGGGAAGTCAACTGAGATAACGAAGGGCCCGAGTTCGAATCCTGGAGAAGACATGGATGTAAATTGTCTTTTCCCTCATAGGAGATTACGGGTAAAGTGCAAAATCGCCCAGTTATTTGTTTGGCGCTTTTTAAAAGAGTAAGAAGAATTGGATTTTTGTCAAGTTTCTTTGACTTTTTAAGTGAAAATAGGTCGATGTGTACATGGATACCGAGTATGGGCAATTCTTAAAAATGCACCAAGCAGTGGGTGATTCTGCACTTTCCCCATGGTGGTCACCTGTTAGGTGCTTCCATAATAAAATGACCACCACTTCTGGCCTTAGTAGTAGCAAAAGCCTAAAAATGACTAGTTCCTCCCATTAAAAAAAAATGTAGTGGAAGCAGGTTTTAGTCAATGACTTAGCATGGAAAACAAGACACAGGTAGAATATTTCTGAATGAGGTGTTTTAAAAATTAAATGAAGCAATTTCATGTCAGTTAATATACATCAAGCATAGTCACCATATTAATTACAACTGAACTTTTGCACAATTAGAATTTGTGATTTTTTTTTATCTGAAAACTGGTTTATATTTATAAAACTAAAGATAATAAAACATTAGTTTAATAAACCATTTTTTCAAAACTTTAGTTCATATTCTTAGTCTGTTATATTTAAGTTATTTATGCACAATTATTTGCATTGCGATTATGCTGTGCTATATATTATAAAGAAAATATAAGAAGGTCGATGAAGAAAGCCACTGTTTTAAAAGGTGTCGATGGAAGAAAAGTGTTGGGAATCTGTGTGCTAAAGGATGTTAGATAATAAACTAAAAATTAAACAGCTATACATATATATAAATCTGATTAATCAGCTTACAGGATATCCATAAAAGCAAGAAGTAATTTCACAACCGGAAAATTTGCAGCTTTTATCACCCCATGGGAAATGCTTTATTTTACAGGCTTCTCCAATTTTTGCGCGTAATTCTACACTGGCAAATATTGTCCTTTCCATTAATATGCACTTGTTGCAGAGCCATTAAATGCGTTATCACACTGGAGATCTTTAAAAGTATTGCTCAGGAAACACAATTTTGGGCATATTTAAATTAAGCACTTTTCATAAAATATTGTGAAAATTGATAAATTATAAAAAAAATTCCTTAGTTAATAAAAATTTAAAAAATAACATTTCATAAAATAAATAAAACGACAAATACAATTTAAAAATTTTGCCAAATTGATTTCACTCCACTTCGTATTTCTGTTTCTTTGTTTATTTAGTTACGAGAAACTAATATTTCGCATCAATCAACCAAAAATATTTAAATTAATCTTTGTAAAAACTTAGACCTACATATATAATAAATTTTTAATTAACCATAGATCTTAATTTTACACTTTTGTTAACACTACAATTGGGTATTACAAGCAGCATGAATGCAGCAAACGTTAACTATGTTTATTATATTATTCCCATTAGTTTCGGTGTAACGTGCGCGAAATTTTGGTAATGTGAGTAAGTGTAACCAAAGAAAACACGTGGAAACTGGACCTTTATAGATAAGAAACAGAAAATAAGGAATTATTTATAGTTTGAAATGCCGAAAAAAGACTTATCACTTGGTCGCGCTTTGATAAAAGCGCACAAAAAAAGAAGAAATATTGTAAGCAAAGATGGTTATGTAAGCACATAAGTATTTTTTCCCCCTTTTTTAAGTAAACATTTTCAACATATGCTTATACATGATGATATATTATATTTTAATAAATTTTTATAGAGACATACAAGTGACCTCCCAGATGGACGAGATTTTGCACGTTTAAATTTACGTAGTGTAACTGAGCAAACATCTGTAAACGATTTCCTTGATACTGTCGCTCTGGCAGTGGATGAGTACACTTCAGGTGTGTATTACTCTTTATGTCTGCATAAATTCTTTTTGCTTGTTAAGTAATTCTTTATAAGTTATGCATATTTAAAATAATTTAAGTCCTGAAATTAGCCATTCGGATTCCCTTGTGCAAAACTAAGTTTTAAAAAATCTTTGTTATCTAAAGATCTCAACTAGAAAAGTCAGTAGCAAAGTATTGGCCATTCAGACTCATGATTCCTATGTATTTGTGGACAAATGCATTATGACAAATTCCCCTCACGTATGCTACATGGTGAGACAAAAGGGGGTTCAATGTTAAATTGTAATAAATTAGATTCTAAACTAAAAGTACTGGACTAATTAGGGGAGGGGGTTAGACCATAGTGATAAACTATTTAAAATTTACTTTGGGTACTAAAAAGGTGCAACCTGTATTTCTGTTTGTGTAAAACAATAAGTTACTTCCTTGTTAAAATAGCCACCTCAGTCAAATTTTGCAAACTGAATTGCCATATTTTTTACATACAAAGTAGTTCATTGCAGCATTGTCTAAATGATATAATTGATTTAATATTTCTTTTTTCCTTTGAAAGTTTTACCATTTTTGGCTTGTAATTATTAGAAACGAAGGAGTAATTTTTTGTGTGTTATTTATAACATGCAGTGTGTGTTTTTTTCACACTCACTTTAGGCTGTGTGATATGTTCTTTCATTATTTTCTGTGCAAGATTTAACTCTCCATCTACTGAAAATAAGCAATACTTTCTTTGTGATATAATTCATTCTTTCATATCTTTCATTATTTTCTCCTTTATGTTAGCCGTATTAAATTATGTTGTTATTGAGGCTTTAGTGTAGAATTGGGTGCCCCTTCGATTGGCAACATTTAAAAAAAAATTTTGGCGATGAAACCTCACTTCTGGTTACCACGATAGTTTTAATTTTGTTCTAGCTTCCCGATTTTATTTAAATGAAAGTAGATTGATGTGTACATGGACATATTTAAGGCAGTGCGCAATGCCTAGTTTGTGCAATTCTAGAATCTTTTATTAAGTAAAAACAGATCGATGTGTACATGGACACAGATCTTATGCAATTCTTCGACTTCTTATTTTGGTTTTGTGTCGTGGCCATCTTGAAATTGTGACTTCCTGGCGCCGATCTTGGCGTCAAAAAAGAATCGCAAATAAACAAGGGGCACCCAATTGTGAACTTTTACCGTTATTAATATGTTAACCATGTTAAATTTACCATCAACTAAAAAATAAGTTTTTTTTCCCCCTCAAGAGCACAAAATGTTGCACATCGAGCAGAAGTACAAAAGCGGCCATCAAATTAAATTATTTATTGGTTAGAAAAAGTTTGCAATTATTTATTGAAATTATATATTGGAAGCAGATTTGGAGACGCACTGTAAAATGCTGCCAAAAGATGGAGGTCTTCATCCCAATATTTGGTTTCATGGTTCTAAATAAAGTCGGCGCTAGACCTTTTTGCCACCTAGTCCTTTCTTTAATTCTAAAATTTTTGTCGCCCAGTACGATCACACCATTTGCACATGCTCTGGTTCTGGTCTTGGTTCCGGTGTTTCTTTTCAACCTGCTGTCTGCTTCATATACAGTTAAACTGAAAAACTAACTTATATTAGCCAATAAATTTTCAAATTTAGTTAACTGTCAAGGATGATGCAGTGATTGAATAAAACAGCTTTATCAAGGAAATTTTTATTTCTTTGTTTTTGATTAAACACTCAAAAGGCAAAACTGGTGAACCTGAAAAAAAACCTTGAGGTAAAAATATGTTTCAGGGTACCCCATGGTGAAAATTGGCAATTTTTTGCCACCATTCATGTATGTGTCCAATGCTCTCCCCCGTAAAATAGTGTTGAAAACGTAATTAAAATAGAAAATATATATAATCTCAATAAACTGCATTTTAAATTGAACAAGGAAATAACAAGAATGGAAATGCATGTTATCTAATCTACGCAATATAAAAAGGAAATATTGACTTACCTTATTTAAAAATGTCTGTTTCTTCTGTATTTTCAACACACAGAATTCCTTAACAGCATCCAAAAACTATTTAAAATTATCTAAACTAGAATCTGTATACTACCGTCGCCACATAAATTCACAGAAATAAAAATGAAAAATATTCTTTGTTCTGCCAGTAGCATTTCTTTCGAAAATCCTTTTTTATTACACCCCACATACCTTTATAACGTTGATATGAGCTCCAGTTTCCAAATCCTTAAATCTCGCTGTATAATTTACCAAGAGGTGGATGAAGCCATTTAAATCATTGGGTAGAGTAGACTTTAAGGTACCCCTTGTATTATGGCGAAGTTGTTGTTTGATTTATCGCCAAGCTATTGTTTCATTTGTGGTAGCCTGAGTAGTTGAATGTTATGGAAACCCTATTGTGACGTAATTGTGTGCATGATTCTGGGAAATTTTGAATCATGGGATGTTTTGTGTATGTTATGGTGTGTGTTAAAACCGTTTAGATGGATTTGAATGCGTTTGTGGGAAGAAAGGTTCAGATGGTCACTATGTGAAGCATTCGATCAGAAAGAGTACCTGGTTTGAAAAAAGTCATTTGAGTATGATTGATATTTTGATTTTTACGTGGCTCTGGGTGTACGAAGCGAACTTGAAAATCATGGTAAGTGATTATTTGCTTTTGGTAGTGCTTAAATGTATAACATGTTTATCCTTTTTTATGTTATTTTATTTTTTGGTTTAAAATGTATTTTATTGAGATTATGTATTTTTTGTTTGTCAATATTGTAGACTTTGGTGCTCCTTTGACTTTTTAAGTGAAAATATATCGATGTGTACATGGACAAAAGTAAAGGGAGTACGGTGCGCAATGCAAGTTTGTGCAATTCTGGGATTTTTTTTTAAGTGAAAATAGGTCGACATTGACATAGATAAAGTTAAAAGAGTGCGCAGTGTCATTTTTGTGCAATTGAGGGGATTTTTTTTAAGTGAAAATAAGTCGATGTGTACATGGATACCGAGTTTGTGCAATTGTTTGTCTTGTTATTTTGGCTTTGTGTAGCAGCGATTTTTGTCGCAAAAATCTCCGTTTCGCAAGCCAAAGTAATGAATCAAAGCATTGCACAAAATCGGTATCCATGTACCGCCAAGGGTTACCCTAAACTATACTTTTACCAAATCATTTACACACCATATTACATTGACACCAGTCAATCAAAATTTTCTTTCCCATTTGTTCCGAAATGTACAGAAACTTAATTAATTGTACCACCAGCTGGCATTTTCAGGTGTAAAGCACAAAATAAGCTGTGTACTTCCTAATTAACATCCAACACATAAATAAGCCCTTACAAATATTTTCCCAACACTCGAAATCACCACAATCACACATTACATCATAATAGGATTTCCATAACATTCATAAAATACTCAGGTTACCATAAATGAAACAACTTGGTGACAATTCAAGGCGTACTGTAAAATATAGTGCTTCATGCGTACAGGTTCGTAATGAATTGAATGCGCAAGTCTGATGGAATGTGAATAAAATCTATTATCATCACAACAAATAAAACAAAATGTTTAAAGTTCTGATGCTAAAGCAAAATTTAAAGTTTATAAAATTAAACATTTAGCAGTAGTAGCAATAAAAGCTCCTTGAGATTATATGTTGTGCAGACATTGAAGACAATAAAGAGGTTTCAAACTTAACCAATTTATTGACAATATAAAAAAGAATAAAAACATGAAGAATAAATTTAAACAATATCAGAGTATTAGAAAAAATATATATAACCATCATTTTTCAAAACTTTCATATATTAAATAGTATTTTACCTGTTCTCCAAAAATACTGGCATTCAATACAGTGAAAAAAAAAAAAAAAAAAACCTAAACAGAAATTATGCAGTTTCTCATATGAAATTAGCTACACATGTCAATAAGTCCACGCTTAATGATCAAGAAAGGCACCTGAAAATTTAAATTGAGTCCTTGAAAGCACTTAAAATCCGGCCTAACTCCGCTCACTGTAGTTGAACACGAGGAATCATAGCCTAGTAAAACATCGCCGCTAACTTATTGTTAAATGCCGCCTTCAATGAAGAACAGGGATGCCACCCACGGCAGTCACTCACATTGTAACCTCTGGAACCAAGGAACCTATTCAGGAATAGTCATCTTGTGGACAGGAACCAAGGAACTTATTCACCGGACTGCACGTATCCTTCAAAAGGGGCTGGAAACCGCACACCCAAGAGCAGGAAAGCAGGAACTAGAAGGGCTGAGCCAGAGCGACGCGAGATACTTATACCAGAAGTAGGCATGACGTCATCTCACGGCAACCAATCAGCTATCGGCACGATTCGGCTTTCCAGATGACTTAGCATCACGTTTCGTTTTTGCATCTTAATAAGGTTGAAACAGTCTGTTCTCAACCCAAACTGTGGAAGTAAGAAAAAGAAATAGAAGTAACTACTATATTACCTTAAAATAAGAACTAAGCCTAATAAACATTTCAAGGAGGAGAGATGATGCAGTAAAAGGGTTACAATAAGTCATATTTTCCAACAAGTTCCTCAGATATTCATACAATATCCCAAAATCTCGGAGTAGTTATCTTTTAAACTACTAAAAACCTTCAACAGAACTTCATTTAAAACAGAGAAACGTAGAGAAAGCTAATCTGATTTCACCACGAATTCGCTACAGTAAACAACAGCAGTTTTCTAAACAAACTCATAAAACAACTGAATTGAGATGTTTTCCATGCCAGCTTTATATAAGCTTTTTAATTCGTGCACGAGAGTATTCTTGTACTTTGGTCGATTTTTCTGGATATCCAAAAGCAGTACAATTACGAGATATTTATTTATTAAAATGTTAAATGCGCATGCTCCTCTATTTTTAATTTTTCCAGCGTAGCTTTCTCTTCAAATAAGTCTCATGCTACATTGCACAGGGAAATGAAACAATTTAATAACAATTTTATTAAAAATAGCAAATTAAATAAATCAATACAAAAACC